AATTAGAAGTGGTTTATTCCAGATCTTTAAAGTGGCTGGGGTGTTTAGCGGGGCTACTGATGGCAGTTTCAATGCAGGGAACCAATGTGACACAACAGGTCAAAACTCGACACCATGCTTCATACATTTGATACAGTTTAGAATGGCGGCCCCTGCTGGATGCTATCAGAACTACAATTGGGCAGGGATCCTAATGTCGGCATTATTTCATGGCTGAACCCATTTGTTCCTTAATAATAGTATTGATAATGATTGTATAAATATATAATAACTAAAAACTGATAACTGTGAAATGTTAATATGGTAAACAGCCCCTCTGATGAATAACAGCTGTGTAACAGTGCGTTCCTCCTGTATCTATGCTTTCAGGAACCTGTTTCTCCTCCTAATATCCTGCTCATCTCAAACCAAACATTCTCCTTTCTATTAGGGCATAACATCTATTACCTTTTCACTTCCTGTTTCAGAAAGTACCATCTGCATACAGATGAGTGGGAATGTCTAAGGACTGATTTCCTCTCAATGTATCTGAAGAGCAAACATCTAGTCTAGTCCTTTAACTTTTTGACACTGAAAATGTTTGTTTTCTACTAAATAGAAAGGAAGGGGTATCACATTTCCTTTCAGAATAAAAGTTCCTGTATGTATTGTAACTAAGCAGCTATTTTGAATATCTATTATAATTTTCATTATTTACCTACTGAGCTCGAAATATTTGAGACCTGAAAGGCCTCCTGGCCATCACCCTAATTCTGAGCTCATATCAGATAGCAGCTCTGGCTGAGCAGATACCTTTGAGTTAACAACTATAAGGATCCAAAATTAGCTGCAAAAAATGTTATCAGTTTTCTTCGTTTAATTTAAAATGTGAAAGGGTGAAAAAATTAGGACAGCCCTTGAATTGTCCGGTTCTTCTGTGTCACACCTGTATTATAATTCTGTGACAATAAATTGGTAAAAAAAATGGGGAAATGATTTAGACTGAATGCAGGGTGGATCATTATCAGCTCAGAGCTGCAGAACCAAACAGACCAGGAAGACAGACAGATGATTGACATTTTTATTTGGTTTTTTTCTTGCAGATTGGACAGAAACTCAAAGCAGGAAAAGCTTCTTGTTGGTTAAAAGGAAAATTATGACAGGAAGTTCTGAGTAAAACAGTCATAACATAAAATCAAACTGAAAAGAAACCCCCAAAATCCATAAAAAATCTTCCAGTTTTGAAAAAACCAACAATGAATTATTCTGCAGTTTAAAGTTTAGAAACAAACAAGCATTATAGTAAACCAGAGAAAGACCAGAACCCGTCACATAACTGAACCCTTCTAAATGTAAAGAACTGCAAACGTTCATTCAGTCACGTGTTTGCATGTTTTTCTGAATCATCCACCAAGGCTAGACTTTAGATGATACACATTATCAGAGGGATTATTTTTATTTTAAAGTCTTCATTACTGATTCTGGGATTTCTTTAGTTAACATTTTTTTCTTGTAGTCTTCGATGGACTCCTCACATTTCTGCCCATAATAACCCTTCTCACACTCACACAATCCGATGTATTCTTTTCCCAGTGGGACACATTTTCCTCTATTTTCCTTTTTGCCACAGTCAACATCTGTACAGGGATTGTTATTCATCAACTCTTCATCGCTTTTGATTAGAACTCTGAAGTGGCCTGTTTTAATTCCTGGTAATGGTGTGCATTTCCCTTTATATGTGTAAGGGGTAGTTTGGGGTTCTTCTGGCTCATAGTCCAGTTCTGTAGGAGCGTCTTTAGCATTTAGAGTATTAGCATTAGCATGTTCTTTAAAATGGTAAGCATGGATGGCTGTAAACTTGTCCTTTATTTTGCACTTTTCTAAAACTTTAGGGATTTTATAACACATCACTGCTTTCTCGAGGCATTTTTCAATGGCTGGTCTTACCTCTTTAGTTTTCTTATGGTTCCCTTTAGCTTGTTTAGCTACAGCCACAGTGAATTCTCCCTTTGTCACTTCAATAAACCCATCCAGAGTGTGGCTGTTCATCCATTTAGTTGCTCTACTTGTATGGCCTGAAAGAGCCGTTTTAAAAACAACAACCATCCAATTAAAGTAGTCATACGTCTTATCTAAATGCTTCCTGATTTCACGTGCTATGTCTTTACGTTTTTTTGAAGTATCGATAAATTTTTTGACATCCTTTTCAACATATTCATTCGTGTTTAAAAGGCAGTTGCGTTGAATCTGGTACATAGCTTTAGACACATCGAATGCTTTATCAATCAGTGAACCGTCAGAATGTTGACCATTTAAGCTGTTAAAAAAATGGGCCATGGTGACGGCTTTGAACATCAGCCCTACGTTAACAGCAGAAAAATTTCGGATGCTACTGTATTCACACCTAACAGTGTCTGGTAAAATCTTTTCATACTTTGGTCTGTATACATTGTCACCAACAATTAGATCGTGAAATTTGTACACATAGTCTTTGGTGTCTTTGAGGTCATTTTTAATTTCTTTACCTTTTTTACTGTTTTTCAGGTCTTGAAAGCATGATTCATCACAATTTTCCAACAGGTCCACTACCTTATTCCACGCAACATTTATTTTACCCTCAACTTTTCCATAAGTTGCACTGGCCCAAATGTCCCACTTTAGTTCTCTGCGGGTTTCATCAATTCTTTCATTTAGCTGCTTAAATTCCATCTTCATAAAATGTAACATTTTTTTTTTTTCATTGATATCCTGAATCTTAGAGGCAACATCTATAAAAATACTTAGACCAGTCCCAGCCTCTGGTATCATAGCAATAAAAGGCTTAAGTATAGTAGCAATCGTTAAAGCGTGATCTGCTATTTTCGTTAGTGACAGGCTTCTCTTCTGCAGAGCGCGGGTTTCCTGCCGGTCGGAGGGTTGACGGACGCTCAGGCTGCAGACCAGGAATGAAGTCGACAACAACAGCAGAAAAAACAGGCTGGCGGACGCCATGACTGGAGACAAACACAAGAACATTCAAAAATTTTATTAATTTCATACATTTTTTTTTTTTTTTACAGTAGGCTGACAGGACAGGGGGCAGGAGAAAGGCATGTGGCAAAGGACCACAGGCCGGATTTGAAGTCAAGAAATAAGGCTTCTATACACGGGTTCTGCACAGTAACCATTGCGCCACCGAAGCAAAGCCAAGTCTCCCTCTTTGTTTCCTTTACAGTATTGCTGGATTTTAGCTCAATAAAGTCTCTTCCAGCTGGCCTATACCCTTAAATATTAAGCTAGCAATTTAAATTTCTCTGAAATATTCAAAACTAGGAACATTGTATTTTTGGAGAATTTAACAATGATGAAAGTTTGTGGTTTTCTGTCAAATTCACATACTACAAGTATTCTACACCATTTCAACAATAATTTTTCTGAAATATTCCAAACTAGATAAATTGTATTTTTGGAGAATTTAAAAATTATGAAACTCTGTTTTTTTTTTTTCTGTCGAATACTCCAAAATTTTAAAGAATCGTTGGTATTTAAATATTTTCATTCTACACCATTTCAACAATAATTTTTCTGAAATATTCCAAACTAGATAAATTGTATTTTTGGAGAATTTAAAAATTATGAAACTCTGTGTTTTTTTTTCTGTCGAATACTCCAAAATTTTA